AAGCATCAGGTAACTGCTGTCTTTAACCTATCTGTCAAAGTCAAGTTAAATTCTTTATCAACGCTGTGAAATCACACTGTCTTCCAGCAAAAGAAGAAATAGGAGAAGCTAAATAAATGAAACTGAATTGGAGAATTGTTGTTTATTCAACTGTTTCATTGTGAAAGTACACAGTGGCGTCTCTGATCTTCTCTGTGCTGCCTACAGTTAGTTAGATGTTGTTCTTTTTGAGACAACACAGGGAGGTGGGTGCTGCAAATATGAGTTTTTCAGTTTTCCATTAGAAAGTTGTTTTAATATCTGAAAATAAAAACATGTCAGGATTCAACATTAGATCAGATCTTCAGCCTTTAATGACAGTTCCTCCCCTCTGCAGACTTTTGAAATGCCAGAGCTCAAAAATGCATCATCCTCCCACACTAGGATCTGGAGATTTGCAGCACACAAGACTTCATTTTTTGCAGTAGACTGTCATCAATTATAACTCTCCTTTTTTGTTCACTGACATTTGAAAATCATCGTCAAAAAATATTCAACCTGAAAATCTCTGATTATCTTGCAAACCTGACAAAGTATTTCCTTTCTTGTGCTTTTGTCATTCATTTTAATCTTCTGGTCATCTGCTTATTGCTAGTGCTCCTATTGATGGTCTAGCTGGATTTAGCAAGAACTTTGGTTTGTTTCTGGACTTGAACTCAATAGAAAGTCAAAACCAGAGATCACACGCAGGGCTCAAACTCAGAGACCACAGGGACCAACCTTAGAGACCAAGCCTATAGACTGCAGGGACCAAACACATGGCTCAAAACCAAAGACTAAACCCAGAAATCACAGGGACCAAATTCAGAGAGTAAATCTGCGGAACAAAACTAGGGATCAAATCCAGAAATCCCAGAGCCCAAACCCTCAGGGACTGAGAGTTGAAACATAGATCATTGGTAAACCCTCACTTTTGACTTCAGCTTTCTAGTACAACACCTGCAGTTACTGTTATGACCTCATCAACCCATTAATCAATTGGATGCTCCTTCGGTTCTCAAGGTCCAGCTTCAACTAGATTAATCCACCATTTTTTAACATAATACCATAAAATCAGACTTGAATTCTCTTTCTGCCTCCCTTCACACTTGACTGCAAACCTTTTTCTCAGTGCGCTCTGAAGGTGAAGATGACAGTGTTGTCACTTATTAAATAAATTGCTTTGGCCAGCTGACCAAATTGTTTTTGGAATCTGGAGAAGGTCATAAAGAGAATATATTTCCAGATATTTTTAATAAAAAGACACTTTAAATTACCCGAGAGGGTCTAATTATCTACCAAAGTGTCAAGGAGAAATGACTCAGAGCAACATGAATCTCTAAAGTTGTTTTTATCTGTGTCCGTCACCTCTGCCTGCTCATTTATTTTTGTATTCCAGCAGTGTTCCTTTCTTCTGACTTGTCTTCATCTCACTTTCTTCCTCTTTGTACTTTCACTCAGATGAACCCTCTGTCTTTACTGTCTTCACAAACCTTGATTTGAATTCCTCTTTGAAAGTGATCAGAACTAGAGTTATTACCGGTGACATCTCTTGGTATTGATTCAGACTGGTCACGATACAGCTGGCCTTAATGAACAATACCATACATGTGAGTGTTTTCTCTCTTTTGCCTCCTTTTATCTTAAAGCATTAAAAGAATTTAACTTGGGGGCTGATGCTGTCTGTAGTTGTTTTCTTCAAACTTGATGATTGTTCTGAGAGGAATCCCTGCAGACCACAAAGTGTTTGGCTGACGACAAACATGATGCAGAGTGCTGCTTTCCACTCAGAATTCTTCATCACCTCTTGTTTGCGTTGTTTAAAAGCCTGCCCACAAACAAACCTGTTTTTTATGAGACCAGTGACCCTGCTAGGCAACAGCATGCATGGCTCTGGGGTTGATCCTTCCTAACAGAGAGCAAACTCCAAATCCCATCAGCAGGCAGGTGGACCAGCCTCAGGTCCTGCAGCGAAGCTGTGTTTGTACATGGCGAGACCCGACATGAAGCTGCAGGGCGTCATGAAAAATTAGTGTCTGTGTCTGGAAAATAAGACGCATGCATCTGATGGGGTCAGCAAAAACAGACAGCAAACTGTTTATTAAAGGCGGACATCTGGATTGTGTATTTTGAAGCCTTAACGTTTTTGTAGAAGGTAGAAGTGACCATATTTGGATATATTTGATTAGCAGGCTGCATTTTTTAAAACACAGGATAAAATCGCCAACAGCAGACACAACCGAAAAGTTCAGTTCAGTCATTCAGCTTAGCAGGGATCTGACCCACATCCAAAGAAGGTAAAGTTTCATTCCAGGTTGAAGGTAAATATATATATGTGGACATTTTATGTCTACGAATGAGCCTCGTAGAGCATAAGTTATAGGTACTTCAGTGTTAGCATGCACCCATGTTCTTGACAGACGATCACTGCTTAACGACCTGATAAACATGGTGGTCATGGCCTCAAAACTAGTCAATGACCAACCACCGGTTGCAAGGGAAAAGTGAATACTCCTGGAGCTGCTGTGAGAGGTTGATGGCTAAATGATCCCCTGGTCAGCATCTGTCACTAGGGAAAAATGTGCATTCCCCTAGCTTTGGTCGCTAGCATATTACTGCGGTCATAGTTTGAATGGAAGTAACAAACTCTGTCCAGCTGTTCTCTGCGCTGTAGTGAAACTGAAGTGTGTGCCCCAACCGAAAAATGCAACGCAAACTTTTCCAGTTTGTGTTGATTATTTTGTTCTGTTAATTGTGTTAATTATTAAAATATGGGCATGTTTTTCAGAAGTTCATTATAGATGTTAAAACATAAACATGATTTGAAAGGGGCTGACCCACCCATCGGGGCCTCCCTAAGCTGGTTGCAATAACCAATTTGATCATTTTGAAATTAAAATGTACTTTTCTGAGTTCAAAATGCAATTTTAGTTACTGTTGTTTAAAAAAAGTAAAGTTTTAGTGAAGTAAAATGTCTTTTCATACTACTTCTAGTTTGTCGATTTGGTCCATTAAACCTTGGCGTCTGTAAGACTGACATTGCCATACATTGAGGCTAGGCTATAAAAACAACAAACAACATATACTCACTTTCACTTTTTTGGCTTGTAAATGTGACAGATAAGTTAATGCAGCTTTTTTTAAAAAACAAAACAAAACACGACACATGCTTCAGGCGCTCATGTTTTTAGTCTAAGATAAGATGGGATATAAAACAGGAACTTCAGCCCAAAAGGCCCATTAAAATGCATTTCAGGCTGCCAGAATTCCCAAATTTCTGTCAGGTTTTCTGAGGCAATGCCCTTGATGTCTTTATTTTGAACTATTGACATCTCTTTATAAAGTCTCTAACATCACTGGCAAACCTTAAGACAGGCTGCAAGGGATCAAAGCTCACTGACACTTGAGATTAGCATTAAACTGAACCTGAACCTTTATAAACAAACACTAATGAGTGCACTTAGTCTGCATGTGAGAAACACAGACTGATTTTTCAGTTTTTTATTCTCCCTTTTCATCTCTTAATAATATCAGGATGGATGATTCCCCCACCCAGCGTCTTTGGACATGGTGTTATACATGAATGTGTTTATGTTTGTGCTCCTCAGCAGGAAGCATTTGTCTCACATCAGATAATTTTGTGAATGCAGAAAGGCTGTTTGGTTGCAGCTTAATCCCCATTAAAAACACTGCAGGGAGACGGATAAACAGCAGAAGAGAGACCGAGGGTGTGTTTGTCCTTTCAGAGAGTTCAGGGCATGACTCAGACATGAATGATGAAGTGTGAGTAATTGCAGTGGTATATTCAGATATTTCACTTAAATGTGCTCTCTGTATATTTTTACATTTATTAAATGTCATTGTATTGCTGACATGTGAATGGATTGTAACTTAAAACAGGAAACCTCCCATGAGGTCTGTGGATTGATTTGTGCATGTTATGTCCCCCCCCCCACCATGGTGGTGGCAAAGGCAGGAAGGAGACAGCAACACCGGACAACCACAATCAATGGAGGAGGATGACAACAGGACAGTTAAGAATCAGGCAGGATTTAGTGGAATCTATAAGAAAAAAGGTGGGGGAGGAGGACTGGGCGGTTGAGCTAAATCAAAGAAAGTAATAAAACAAAAAGAGGTCGAGAGCTCCCAGGGCCTAACTAAAACAAAAATGCAAAACAAAAGGCCTACCTAGCTGCTCGACAAAAGGTCAGTGAAAAGATACAAAAGTGGCATCAACCACATACCCTATTGTGTCTAACAGTTTAACGCCTGCAATCAGTGTATAAGGGTACCTCAGCTTACCTGTCCAGCCTTCCACCACACATAATATAAAGAAGCCTGTTCGCAAATGTTTGTCATAGCAGAAGCCAGCAGCCACCAGCTGGCCAGGGAGCTGCTCATTTGTAGTGATCCTCGGCGTGTGATTGGCCAACTGGGCCCAGACCAGCCAATAGACACATGCCAATCAACTTCGAACTGGCCAATAGGTGGAGGCTTGACACCTGAAAAAATTCTGGTTCATCCGTTTCATTGAACAATCCACTTTCGCCCTTCTCATTCCCCGTCGCCGGCACGCTTTTTCCTCCATGTGCGTATAAAAACAAAGGCACTGCACGTGCGCTTTTTCCCCCCATATTCTATCGCGATATTTCATTTTCTTATCATTATCAACATTATACCGGTATTACATTTCAAGGGTAAAGTTGAAATACTTTTTTGGGAATAAAGGTGAAAAACTGTTATGAATAAAGTAAAATATCAAGAACATAGCTTTTTAAAGAATAAAGGTGGTGTTTTAGCTCGTCACCCTTCCTTTGAGTAAGTTTGATTAAACATATTTTCTTTTTAACAAACATGTAGCATATTAAATGTTTTGTCTTGTTTCCTGTCTTTTTAAAATTATTATATGATATTGACAGACACGAGAGTTTTAAAAAAGTCATCACTTCTCTTATATTTATTCTTTTTGTGTTTTTCTTTAGTTCTCATTGTTGGATCCTTGATGGTATGCTGGCTTCCCAACCAGATTCGCCGTCTTATGATGGCCGCTATGCCCAAATCCAACTGGACCATTACCTACTTCCGGAGCTACGTCATCCTCCACCCCGTGGCCGACACCTTCTTCTACCTCAGCTCTGTCCTCAACCCTTTCCTCTACAACCTGTCCTCGCGGCAGTTCAGGGACGTATTCATGCAGGTTCTGCGGTGTCACCTTACCATCGTGCATAAAAATCAGTCCACCGTGCAGTTCAGGGCTGCCCCCATGCAATCCCTTCAACGCCCCCTGCTGCTGAAGTCACTGCGTCGAAATAGGTCGAGTCGCACCACCGTTGCCAAAGAGGAAACACCTTCATCCTTTACGACATTTCAGTCGCAAGATGACTCGGGACTGGGCACGGATACTCAGACGTCCATCATAGGGACTGAAGAGCAAATCTTGGAGCTCAAGAATAGAAATGTACCATCAGAGTCGGAAATATAGCCTGTTGTGCGAGTCAGTGGGAGAAACTGCTTTATCCATGGATGCAGTAACAAGTATTCAGTGAGCAGACACCCTGTGCTGTGTTTATTGAGTACACAAAAAACATAGCACAGGGTGTCTCGAAAGGACATTTACCTCCAGTGATAATGTTAAAATATAAAATAGAATCTTAAATACCCCAGAGCTTCAGTTAAAATTAAAGGTACAGACTGGAGGGTACTGTAGTCTGTGTTCTGCATTCCAGAGAGGGGATTTTTTTTATCAATATTTTGGCCCACAGATGAAACTGAAAGTCACATTATGATCACCAACCTTCAAGAAGAGCAAATGCAGTAAAATAGCAATGGATTTTAACATTGATTAACCCTACTGTTAGCTATGGTAGGCCATGATGTCAGCGCAAGGTCACAATCAACTATTAATCTGAAATAGTATTTAGGGTACTTAGCTTTAGCACAGTAGCTGCAAGCTGCTTTGCAAACCACAACAAGCCTAGCTCTGCTTTTTAATCCCTTATATGGTTCAATTGATGTTGCATCTGGCGCTTAATGCTGCTGTATCCATGTCAGGCTTTCCTTTTATATTCAAGAAGGGCGGGAGGTCCCAAATCAGGGAGTAGTCAAAGTTGGAATCTATAATAAAAATTAAAATTAGAAATCTAGTGGTTACAATTAGTAACTTAGAAAAAGTGTTTTGATGCAATGATGTTGGGGTTCTAATGGGGTTAATATTAACTTGCCAACACCTCACAGTCTCTGGCTAATCTGGAATAGCTGGACTTTGGTGTAACACTTGATGGGCCCAGCTTTGAAGCCTGAAAAGCGAAGTCGACACAAAAACCTGCATTCTTTTCAATGGCCAGCAGGGGGCGACTATAATATTTTGCTGGCTTTATGACCTAGTTTTTGGTCATACTGAGTAAAACATTAAGTGCATTTTATAAATAATAAATAATAATCATTATTAGCGTCAGAAAAGAGGATAAAAGGATTTTACAAACCAAAGGGTGAAGTGCCCTGTGGTTCCATCCATAGTTTTTATACCAGAGGTGTAAGTTAATTAGTCAATCGATGTTTAAGATGAGTGAAAGGCCAGCAGCTGAATTAAATATAAAGCACTTACAGGTGAATTCTGCTGCAGTGTTGAATCAGAACATTTGTGTGACTTTTTTTTTAGAATTTTTTTTTTTAAAAACTTGGTTCTACTAACTCTAGACTGTTTCTACATTTATATTTAATGGTGAACTCTAACAGTAGACTAACACATTCAGTGTTAGTCTACTGTTAGAGTTCCTAACCTCACTGATGCTTAGACTTGACGGGGAGTCGGTTTAGACCTGGAGTAATTTGGCAAAATGCAGTAACTGAGTTCACGACCCAGCTCGATTACAGAGAGGGAGTTCACAATCTGAGTTAAGTTGGGAAATCTTTTGGTTTTTGTGCCGTAAACATGAGAAACTGTGAAACTTTAATTGTGCTGACTCAGGATTAAATCTGGCTCCTAATTATTTCATTTGTTTACTCTGTAATGTGTAGGTATGTACATATCTTAGATACATTTTTATGTTGGAATAAATTTAACTATGCAACTAATCTTTGAACTTGAACAATTCAATTCATTGTGACAAATAAATTAAAGTGACTTTAGACTAAAGTGTTCCTAACTGAACTAAGAAACCTTTACACGGTACTTTTAGCATCTTAAAACTGTCTTTTACACAAGAACATCATCCCAATACTGTTTCCTTTTTCAGTGTCAAAAACACAAATGTCCCAGTGCTATTTACTCAGTTAAATAAATTATACTACCCAACTCACGTCTGTCAATCGGACTGATTTCATCATCACTTTGGGCATTAAGTCTCTGTCTCAGGGCTGGAGAAGAACCCACAGGAGCAGTTTTCCAGGTGTTGCTCCTTTTCTGGGGTCATCTCGTTGCCTCTCGAGTGCACCTGTTGTCACTTTGATTTGCACCAAAGCAGGTGAAATGAATTCAGAAATGTTCATTGACATATACAGCCTTTTCACTTAAAGGTTAGATTCAGCTCACCACAGAAGAACATAAATACATATTTAAATTCTTATCATTTGCGTGTCTCAAATATGCAAAAGACACTGAATATTTCCATTTAACAAACTATAACATCATTCTGCTTTCTGTGTAGCATCTGGGTTACCTGCCACCATCACATGCTTCACCCAGGCGTCTGCAGAGGTATGCGTGCTGAAGTGTAAGCCTTCCTTGATCTGTATTCTTGTCTGTTCTCGTGCGCGCATCAGTCATCGTACTGCTCCATTACAGTCTAAATGGCTATTTTATCAAGGACATTTATGAAATTGGCTTGTGTGTATCCTAAAACTTCTTTTCTAAATTTATCTAGTCATCTATGCAGCTACCTGCCGACTCCTGAGATGAATGTCCAGCCATGTCTGACTTTATCCCAAGGAGAACAGCCTCATCTTAGCTCTAATACCTCTGTGATGATTTTATATGCACTATAACAAAAACATTGATTAACTTAAAGTATATGTTTCTGTCTGTGGATCCCTGTATGTACACAGTTGACAACATTTCAGTAAAGTCAGTGAGTAGAGTCAGTGTATTTAATTAATTTTTTTATTGTTTAACAGGCTTTTAACTGCATCTCACAGTCAACTGGATTAGATTTGGGATATTTTTTGGAGCAGCCTAGAAAGCTGAGCTGGTGCTGTCCTCCTTTTTTCCAAATCACTGTGACAGTAAGATAATTACCAACAAAAACAGCTTTTTATTTATAGTGATAAACACACTGCACCCTCTGAACTGTCACTCACAATTTTTCCACATTTTAGTGCCAACATTTTCCTGTAAACATTACAGAGCACAAAACACAGAGGCGTGGCTGAAACAGTGAGAACTACATAAACAAATTGGGTGAAGTGGTCCCTTCCTGTAACAAACACAACTGTTTCTGATATCATTAGGCAGCGAGGCAGACACAGAGAGGAGGCAATGGCACAAAAACGCAAATTTCAACGAGGAATTTAGGTTTCAGGATAGACTAAATAGGTCCGAAAAGGGCAGAACGTGCCTCAAAGCGGCATTATTTTTAATGGCTGACTGGAAAAAGAAGTCACACTGTATTGAAGTGTATGAAAAAATGGCCCTCTGTTCCCCTGATCTATGACAGGGGTCAGCAATATTTATTATCAAAAGGGAGCTGAGCCATAAACGAGCATATCAACATTATGAATAGGTATAAATAATTAAAACAAGTCTGCAGTTACTTTGTATGACTATTTGGTTTTTTAACTTTGCATTTTCATAACAATAATGCCACATTCATGTTGAATTTATAACATTATAGAACTAGGATAATAAAAATTTAGTTAGTTAGTTATTTTTTTTATTAACCACTAAAGAAAAGTGTTTGTGAAGTGAAGGAAAATCAGATTTGTTTTAAGTAAAAAGATCTGTTGGTAGTGAAAGCAATCACATTGTGTTTATTATATTTATTTCCATATACAGATTAATTTTTTATCAAACCCAGAGGGAGGCACTGGACACGGGCAAAACAGCCACAGGTTTCTGACCTCTGATCTATGACCTCAGTAAAAAACGATTTCCTGATGACAGTATGGCCTCAGTGGCTACTTTTAAGTCATACTGAATACAAAATATTTTTAATTTGTAAGTTACAGTAAAATTAAAGCCAAAAAGAAATATACACTGGGTCATATGCAGTCCAACTGGTCACATCACAGTGGCTGCATCCATCTTTGTGTCTCATTTTTTTTTACTTTGTTTCATTTAGAGGCCTAAACTAGCTAAGAGGTTTTCATACATGAAACATCAGGAGTATTCGGTCAGGACATTACTGCTGAGAATCCCGAGGATCTGAAGTTGTGTTTGTTGCTTGCAGCTATTTGAGAAGTCTTTAAAAGGTATCACATATTTGCACCTTTGCCTAAAGCAGTGGTTCTCAAACTGTGGGATGTAGAACCAGGGGAAAATGCAAAATGAAACTAATTGGAATTAAGAGTATGCTAATGCTATGTTTACCTTTATTTACATAATATACTTATTCAGATAAAAATGTTGAGGGTTGTAAAAAATTGTGGGGTATGGGGCATGCCAGAACAGGTCTGAAAACCACTGACTTAAAGCAGCAGGATTCATACGAGCATCCCCAAAAAGAGAGGGGTGCACGCATTTAAATAACCTCATTCATTATTGAAAACTAATTCATTATTACCAACACAAAAACAGCATTAATCACTCTGTATACGTCACACAGTGGTCAAAAACAGAGTCACAGTTTTAAAGTTTAAACCATTTGTTAAAGAGCAGCCATCCTCAGGTGGAACCCTGAGCTTCATCATAGCTGTGCAGTATTTAAATTTATAAAGTAAATTTAAATCAAGTAATTACTTTTTTCTGCTTAAATTCAAAGTAAATATTTGCAGATTTTATTGTTGTATCATTAGTTTGCACATAGATGTTTCCCACATAGTGACTGCTCATCTCAATCTTTAAAATAAACTCAACATGGGAACAAATTTCAGGTACAGCGAACCTTAGATGTTTAAGTGGAGTCAAGGCTTGCCGTGTTGAGAAGATTTATATGACCTCTCCAGCTCTTTGAAGTCTTATTCTTATTGTCCTGGTCAGTCACAAGTTTAGCAACCCTTATTATTACATACTTACTGCATAATGGTCTTATTTTACCTGGCCAACAAAAAGCCACTTGACTAAGCAAATAGGAAAATTAGTACAGCAACAGTTACAGTTACAACCCTAACTGGAGCCAGTAGCTTCTGTTTTCTTAACCAACCTCATCTGGGGACAGATCCCGTGGTTGTGGAAATAATGTTACTCAGTTTCAAAAGGGTCAAATGCTAAGTATAAGAGTCAAATAAGCTAAGTATTGTCCAATGTGTTAAAAAACCCCCAACAACAAACAAAACAAAACCTTGGAGCACAGTGGTGAACCGTCATCTCCAATGAAGAAATGTGGCTGGAAAAGATCATGATCAGCAATCAGGTAAATGTTCTGTGAAGTCAGAGCATTCCACCCCCAAAGTACTCAAGGGAGTAGGACCAAAGAGCTGTGTAGGCTTAAGGGAATTAACGAGTGGTTCAGGGAGTATGAGACATCATTTTCGCAGATGGATTGACCACTACAGAATCCAGATCTTAAACCACTGAGAATCTTTGGGATATGCTGGAGAGGACTTCAGTGATTCTGCCATCATCAATACAAGATCTTGGAAAAATGATTAATGAAAATCTGGAAGGAAATAAATGTTAATTGAAACGATGCCACGGCAAATTTGTGCCTTCTTCAAAGGTGTTTATCAAATTTCTGTTTGGCCAAACACTGTAAAACACCTGCTAAGAGGCTGAAATGGTTGTTAAAATTAAAAAAAATGTTTTTCTATTATTTTCTATTTGTTTATTATTTAATTTACCAATAGCCTCTCAATGCCAAAAGGTCACTAGTGAACTTTATGTGGAATCAGAACCTGTTTAGTTCAAATTATACCAAATTAACAGAACATAAAGGCAAAAACCCCATAAAAAGAACTGATTTTAAAGGTAACAGCCTCTTCTCCAACCGAATTCTAATCGCACCTCTAAGTGGTTTGTTAACAACATGGTAGATGCCAAGAGGTTAAATAAGTCATGTTCATTTGGGAGATGTCATACATGTTTTGTTTCAGTTGGTGAATACACTGCAAAACTTGTTTTTTCCTATTCATAGAGCATAGAGCAGAAATAAGAGATTTATTCTGGAAATAACACATGCTATCTTTGCTGTTTGCCTTTTTCCACCTTGCAGACGTTCATGAACCCTCTGCTGGAAGCCGTTTTATCCACCACATCTTACCCATATTCACGACATGACACATGGTGATAACTTTGTCCACTATTGTGTCGTTTTTGTTGCAACAGAAAGCCGGGACTCAAGAACAAATGCTGTAAAAAGCCTTCTCTTGTATACATTTCAAAGCATGTATGGCAGAGCTTGTACAGTTTCAGTTTGTTTCAACGCACATCTTAGGAAAGTTCTGTCAGCACAGGATAGAGGAAAGTAGGATGATGATGTTGAAGGAAAGCACAGGAAGCCGTGGCGTGTTAAGAGTGATGGCAGCAGATGGCTGGGGTCGCTTCTTCTGGCGTGGTCCGTTACACAGCGGTGTGTTACAGCAGCTGATGCAGACCGAGTTGAGCTTCCCGGTGCAGAACTGCTGGTAACCAGAAGAGGCGATAAGACAAGCTCCAGATGAGGCACAGGACTTTCGGTAGTGCACACCTGAAATGAGGACATAAATGGATGCATTAGGCTCGTAATGAGAGGATTAAAGCTTGCGATGGAGATGCGTAACTGGGAATTTGTTCTTTCATCTACTTGAAGGAAAACATGATTACAACACCTCTTTTACAAACAACTCTTAATGTAGCCAAGTCATTACACTTAGCTGTCCTGTGCGTCTTTGAAAAACACCTTCAAGTGTGTAAATAACTGCAATTGTGAACAAAAATTAATAAATTACTGCCTGTACTTTTTCCTTTTAACATCTGTTTTCATTTGAATCAGTAACCAGCGACTGATATAGAAAAGCCAGCAACCAGCAGCGTTGATGAGGTGTTTAAATTATTGTATAGGAAAATCTGATTATGAAGATATATATACTGTTTGCATGCAGCAAATCTAAAACATAAACTAGAGGTCGAAGGGTGAAATGTATAGAGAACTGTTTTGTGTGGTCAATAATATGGAATTAGTAAGAAGATGTCATTCCCTGACCAATATTTTGGAGATGAAATGTTAGCATTACACAGTAGCTAAATATCACATATCGTTAATATCACAGCACACATTAGCTAATGAAATAATTTGGCCAGCTAACGCACTTTAATTTGTTCTCAGGATTTTGGCAGCAGTTTAGCCTCCGATCCTGATCAGACTATTTGTTTGACTCTCTCGCTTTAACTTAGCTAGGTTATGTGAATCTGTTGACCATTAGATCATAATGTAAGCATACAAAATAATTTAAAACTGATGAGATAAGTTTAAAAAAAAGCACTCGGCACAGTATTTTGCCAAGTGTGACAGCTTATGTGTCTGTGGCTGTCTTACAGTTTGTCTGAGGAAAATGTTAGCCAGCCAGAAAAGACAGATCGTAGTTGGTTGGATCATGAAAACCAAACCACAGAAAGTCTTTAAACAGAAGTGGCAACTACTACAACCGTTTTTGAAACCTAGCAAAGCAGAATTTTTTTTTTTTTCAAAATTTCCAAATCCAAGTTGTTTTGTGTGCGTACATCTCCCAAAGTAGTTTTAGTGATAATTTAAAAAAATATTCGCTCCACCACCAACTCCTCATGGGTATAAATTTTGAATTTTTGTGCTTTAAAAGATAAAAACTTTGCACAGTTAAAAAATCGCATCCACGAACACACAAAAATAGAAGAAAGACAAATCAACAGTGACTATCTCACAACCTGCTCTAAGAGAACGTGTTGTACAATATGTTCACATACTGAAACTGAAAGCATTAAATACATTTAACAATCAAAATTAATGAAGCACATTGAATTATTAGATTGTATTGTATCAGACTGTAAAGACTTCCATCCAAGCTTGTTCATTTGTTTTGTGAAGGAGCACTTTATGAGAGAACGTTTTCGACCTTGAGGCAGTGTCCAGTTCACAATAAATACATCCAGTATAATAAAATATCTTTAAAACTATATTTACAGACATTTCAAGTGACTGCATTCGATGTTTAAAGTTCTTCTGAAAAGCATTTCAGGCACAGTTTTATATGAAGTTATAAAAACAAAATAATCCACATTGCAATAAAAGCCAAGGGGAATAAAAGAGGGTAATGTTTTCCACATATTCTTTCGCTGTATACACGGACACGTTATTTATTTATCAAGAACAAGTCAGAGGTGTTTGTGAGATTACTTGGGGGAGGCTTTAACATTTTAGTGACATTTTCTTTTAAAGAAATTTAGAAATCAGAACATGAACTTCCAGTAACCCCTGTAATATTTCACTCCTCTCTCCACCCAAGTGAAACTGATGCAGGTGTAGTAACACCCAAAGATCTGTACGCTCATTTAAATTGTGCATCCTTCCATGTTTTCTACACTGCAAATATCAGTGGAGGTCCCCGAAGGTGCAGACTAATCCAGGGGAAACACAGTGTGAAATGTTACAGAGCTCTGGAGGGAAAGGTCTCATGCTCTCACAAAGCCTGCAGATTAAAATCTGACTGAAGCCCTGTTTACATTTTGAATTTTAGCTGCTGGAGTGTTAAAAACCAGGAATAACAAACCTGGAATAACACGCGACAAGGGAAATGGAAACTGACAATCTTTACACGAACATTCCCAAATAGCAATTACTAACATTTGCATGTTTAAAGAAAATATTTCATAGATCCCAGACCTTTTAATATTTTTATATGTTATATTTATGTCATCATCATTATGAGAATGAAATGTTACATTCTCCATTTGTATTTGTACATGGTCAAGTTCAACATATGTCCAGTACGCAACTTAATGGCCACCAAAATTTTAATTTTATTGGAGCCACCACCAAATATGGAAGGAAGAATGATAAAGTCCTTAAATATCACAGACATATAGTTTAACACAGCAGTCCCCAACCTTTTTTCCGCCACGGACCGGTTTAATGTCAGACAATAATTTTAACGCACCGGCCTTTAAGGTGTCGTAAAAAATACCCTAAAATGTTATAGTAACACGTAAATATTTCTTTCAAAATAAGACACACAACTACAACACGGAAAAAGACCCAGGGAAACCGAGTTAACGATAAAAACCCTGAAAACCATGAATTACACACCCGAGCCTCAACTCTTGCAGCCCCGTACCAAACAACTCCCAGTCCGTGGCCCAGGGGTTGAGCCCGTTGGTTTAACACACAATTCAATAGATTCCGATAAAGCTAAAGACATTTTTGACAACGCTCAGGACATCATCTAAAGCAGTGGTCCCCAACCTTTTTTGCGCCACGGACCGGTTTATGCCCGACAATATTTTCATGGACCGGCCTTTAAGGTGTCGCGGATAAATACAACAAAATAAAACTAGTACCGAAAAAAAGAAACACACGTGAAAAGACCAAGGAAAACCGAGTAAACGATAAAAACGATAACAAAATAACGCTGAAAACCGATAAAAGCCCTGAAAACTATACATTTCACACCTGAGCCTCAACTCTCGGGTCCGAGGCCCGGGGGTTGGGGACCGCTGATCTAAAGGATCTTGGAAAGAAAAGGGTCTGGATTTGCTCATTTAAATTGTGCATCCTTCAATTTTTTATACACTGGACATCGGGAACCCTTCTGCAAGTACTGCTAAATATTTTGTGGGTGTTGTTACTCATTCACATATTTTGGCTAACAAATTACCAGTTTGATTATAAATCGTCAGCGTGAGGATTTAGTTCTACAGCTAAAGTGTGAATCCAGTAAGGTCCAATGACTATTACAACTGGGATCTCAAATTGTTGACCAAAGAAATCAATACATGTACTGTGCCCCTTAAATGACGTTTAATATGACAGGTTAAAGGCATAGATTTTTTCTGAACTACTGGACATGGTAAGTTCAGGATAATCTTCAAAGCTGTCTTTATAACTTGGGTTTGGAATTCTTAATGCCAGGATGCGTCTACACGTACACGACTATTTTGGTAAATATAGCTTTTATTATGCGTTTGGCTGTTTGGTTTTGATGTTTTGGATCCCTGAAAACTGACCTTTTGGGAAACTTCTGCCAGAGTTAAGAGTTTGGAAAACTTGGATTCAGTGTTAAAGTGTGGACAAGGACTTTTGAATGGTCAACATTTCTTGACGGTTGGAGTTACATCGCCACCTGCTGCTTTAAGATGGTCTTGACAACACTTGGATGTGGACGGATATATTTTTTAAAACAAACTCAGAAAATGTTTTGCTTAAAAATAAAAAGAGAGTGTTTGTAACCTCAGAAACACTTCAAGAGCATGTCCCGTTCTACGATCTGATCACTGCAACTTTATACACAACCCCCCCCCCCCCGCTTTGAGCTCCTAGCATCATGCCTGGTCTAGTATGTTTCTAATGCTATTTAAAAATGCAGCTTCAAGCCATGCTAAATATGAATAGTGCTGATAACCTGGCAAGGCCAAGAATGATGACTGAGTAGTTTTTGGGTGCATGTATCTGCTAAAAAATAAATAAGCTAACGGACAAGGAACAGCAGCATGTTAGAAAGATTAGTCATTTTTTGATGCTTGGACCCGAGGAACAGAGTCTATATGTGTTTTTTTATTTTAATATTTTGAGCAGTAATTTGAAGATGGAAACAGTGGGTAACATGTTCAGTCAGGGGAAAATGAGCGTTAATAAAAGTGGGATATTACTGACAAAGAAAACAAACGTGATGGTTTTTCTCATTTCAGTCACAGGTTTTTTATTGGTGTGCTAGCCTCAACTCCTCTTCAGCTCCTTCATCTTCATTCATACCTTCATCTAGAAGCTTTATTTAAACTCCAGACCAGTCACCACCCTCTGTGTGCAATCATTAGATCAACCTTTTTTTTTTTGTACATGTCACTCACAGCTTTTCATTAATCGGGCTTCAGGTTTTATTATTTTTTCACACCCTGTCAGATTTTGACTGATTTTTTTCTCGTCTCTGGAGCTTTTTAACTTTCTCATTTAAAGTTCAATAAAGACGATCTGTCACTCACATTAAGTATCTTGATGTTGATGGGGCCATTCTTGCTGCTTTATTTTCTTTGTTACTTTTATTTTGTAATCTGGGCCCCCACCCGTGTTATAGACTACATACATCAGGCTTAATGGCCTAACAAAATTTAATAGATCCATGGTGCATAAAGTTTGGCTTGCAATGATCATAGCGTGGAGCCAGAATTAGACATGTTCAATGAGGACAGCTAGAAACCCCATTTAAGGAAAGCCATTTTGCAAAGCTGATTTATCAGTGAGACAGTGTAATCAGCCAATATTAGCAATTTGCTGATATGTCAGTATCAGCATTTATAAAGCATGATAAATGGAAATTAAAAACAAAAAAATGTGGTGGCTGTAGCTCAGGAGGAAGAGCAGATCTTGTGTAGCCAATGTGAAAGTGGGTGATACATGTGCAAAAAGACATCTGATCCTATTGTAGTCTATGGTAAAATGTCCCATAGAGTACAAAACACTTTTAGGTTGAGTTAAGGTCCATGACATTGCTACTGACCAATCATGTTGTTATGATATCATAG